TTAATAATAATTTAAAAGAAAAAAAAAAGGCACTTTTCATTACAAAAGTAAAAAAAAAAAAACAAAACACCACCAATGTATTTTACAACCACAACCACGTCCAAGCTCTAAGTGTTCACACATTTCACAGGCTCACTTTCATTTCTCTATCTGGAAAGTCTCTTGCATAGAGTACACCATTCTGATAATCTTTGATGAGATATTTTAATCTTAACACTTAAAAAAGAAAATACTTACATATTTAAGAAAGACATCACCAATACTTTTATTCTCATTCCAATTAACAATAAGGTCTTCAAGGTCATCCTGAAATAGCACAAATTGAAACTATAAAGATTAAACTTGTTTTTTTACATTCCTTTTAATAAATGAAATATTTATTTGAAACCACCATTTTACATGTCTTAATTTGATGTAACCACCAATTATTACCCTACTCTTGCTCTGTGGCATTGGCTTTGGTTGAAGTTTGGGGGGTTTTTTGCATTTTATTATGAGGAAATATCTCTGAAAAATAATTCAGAAAATATCGTGTTGAATCATTAAGTCTAGCTTCTGCAATGTGTGATAATTCAATGCTTTTTACCAACACTATTTAGCCTAATTGGTGTTATTCCTTGTAAAAGTAGTAACTTTCAATCTGGAGGTACTTGTGGTCCGGTCAGTAGGAGTGTCTTCTCTGCCAAAGGACCTCACAAACAGAACCAGCCACCACCTGGTACAGGTCAGCTGTCTAAAAGATGCTCAAGTTTTAGCTAAGGAAGGTCTACCAACAATCAGTCAATGAAACCTCCATGGATCAAGATACTATGATCCCCAACCAATCAAAGCATTGGCACAGAACTGGGCACTTAGGGTCACCGGACGTTAGGACAGCCGTGATAGCATCACTCAGTATCTTAGGTGCATAGGCCATATATGGTTTCTGTCGTTACTATTCGACTTTGACCCGATAACATGAAAGCAGTCATGGACAGTATGTAAATGAAATAGCAGAGTATATATTTAAATGAAATTTTCTTTAGCAAATCACCTGACAAGTCAGATTTGGCCCACAAGGCAAATTTTGCCAATCTATAGACAAATCTATAAAATTCCTTAATAGTTGTCCTAAAAGGTACACTCCAAAAATGTTTACATTTTCAAGATAAATGAGATGAGAAGCTAAGACATAACATGCATTAAATGAAATTCTAAAAATTCTATTAAAATAAAAGTTAATCAATCAGCTTGTACACCAGAAGTTCTCAAAGCACAAACTGCAGACCCCTAGGGTTCTTCACTTTCAGTGACATCCAGAAAAATAAAACTTGAATTATAACACTAGAGCATTATTTGACATTTTCATGCTGATTCTCTCACAAGTACACAGTAGTTTCCTAGAGGCTATAAGATGTGATACCGCAATAGACTGAAACACAGATGTAGTATAAATTTTTTTTTAAACTAGACATTACAGAATTATAAAATACATAATGACTTTTTCATATTCTATTTTAAATCAGTTTTCATAAAAATATGGTATTAATGGTACTATGTAACTGATTATTATTTCAAATTAATTTAAATTCTCAGTGCAATAAAAATTGGAAACATAAAATTGGTTAAAGACTTAAATGTAAAAGCAAAAATACTACTTTTGGAAAAAAAAACAGGAAAAAATCTTCAAGAACTTGGGTGAAGCAAAGATTTCTAGGATGAAACACCAAAGTACTGTTCATAAAAGAAAAAAAAAACCAGATTGGACTTCATGAAAACTGAAAACTTTGACACTCAAAAATTATCAGAAAGAAAATTATGATAAATGAGGGAGGAAAATGTGCAGCAATGAATAAATAAAAATCCAACTTTTCTAGAAGCTTCTGTTAAAATCACAAAATAAAAAATTAAAGAGCAAATGTTAAACACCAACCTGGAAGAGAATATATGCAAAGCACATGGATAATAAGGGCACATTTTTCAGAATTTATACAAAAATCTCACTGATAGCGTGTTCTGTTCCTGAGCATTGATTCTAGCTCAGTTACCTACGGACTAGAGGGCTGTCATCTCGTTTCCTAGGCATCCTCTATGTGAAGAGAATGCAGGTTCTCCTCTCGCACAGAAAACACTGGTGCGCATCAAAGCATTTGTCGACTGCATCAAGAGAGTTCCATTTACAACTTCATAGTAAGATAACAGACAACTCAAAACACGGGCAACAAATCTGTATTTGTATAACACCCAATATGATATTCAAGTGGATAATAACTACATAAAAAAATACCCAATACTGTTGGTCATGTTAAACGCACAATGAGATGGTACTTCGTCCACCAGGATGGATAGTATTTATTTATTTTTTATTTTTTTTTTAGAAAAAATGTGTTCTGCAGAAGAAAAACTACAAACATGCTATGTATCACAGAGATCTCAAAAACAGGCTAAGAACAAGTCAGATACAAAAGACCATAACTGAAAGACTACCCTTCCACAAGATGTCCAGAGAAGAAATTCAGACACAAACACAGAGCACTGAAGACCCGAGACAGGGGCTGGGATTGGGGATTGATTGTAAACAGGCTTGAAGAAGAGGTGGGTAGAGGCATCCTTACAGGGATTTATGGTAATGGCTGCAGAACAAGAAAGTCAATGATACTAAATGTCATTGAATTATACATTTGAAACAGGTTAACTTTATTACACGTAAAATTCACCTCAACTGTGCAGTTTACTTTTATATATTTTTTTTACTTTTAAATTTGTTTTAACTTCTAATAAATACTTACATATATGTGTAAGCTACAAAAATTTATTTAATAATTTATTTTAATATTGAAAAGGGGATCTGAAATCGTTTGAGGCCACTGTCTTATGCTAGCAAATACAGAAAAATGGAAATGAGGATAGTAAAATGGGACTACTTTTGATAGCACAAAACTGAAAATTCAAGGTTTAATTGTTCAAAACTCCCCCTTGAGAAAAAATAAGAAAAAGAAGATTGAGGTCTCGGGACTAAGTAACATAGTAAATCAAGCCATGGTCTTGCCAACAACTCGCTACGCATCGAATGCTCGACAAGGAGTAAGGATGCCAGAAGAGCCGATGCCTCCGAGCTGCGGTGCTGGAGAAGAACAGGATGTCCCACGGACGGCCGAGAGAACAAAGAGGCCTGCCGGCCAGAGCGCTCCTGGGGGGCAGGACGGGGAAGCGTCAACGCAGACTTCGGGCATGTAGCTGGGAGACGCCATTCTTTGGAAGAGGCCACTGTGCTTGGAAAGGTGAAGGGTCGGCCAAAGAGAAGACAACTCTCAACGAGATGGAGTGGCAGTGGCACAGTGACTGCAGCAACAGGCTCAAGCGTGTCAGACACTGAGTGAGGACGGCACAGGACAGGACAGGTTCAGGTCTGTTCACAGGACCGCTAGAGTCTTACCTGACAGCCCCTACAGACAAGCATGTGGCAGGTCCCAGCACTGATCACTCTGTACCTGGGAGTCATCTCCAACTCAAAGGAAGCACACCTGACAGAGGAGAACTGCCCAGAGAAACTGGTTACCAAGGTGGTAATCCTGCCTCTGGGCCTGTCAGCCTCAACTATGTTCTATGTGCCTATTTTCTCCTCTGAAAAATGAAGATAATAACTATTCTTACCTCAGAGAGGACGAAATAAGTTAATGCCTATAAAGCACCTCGATGAATCCCTGACAGATAGTAAGTGTTCCAGAAACTATTATTAGCTATATCTTCCTATATAAATATTTAACATAAACTCAAGGGGACATTTGGAAAACCGCAATGCAAAACAGAAAGAAACCTCTAGCTCTTGCCAATATAATTTAGTGATACCTTTTTAAAGCTCATAAGACTACAGAATAAAAAGTGTATATAAATATTTATACATGAATAATTTAAACCTCTAAAATAAATATTTATATAAGAACACTGCTACCAGAAAGTAAAATCATCTTATGTACGGAAGAAGTCTACTCTTGTTACTAGTTAATCTTTAATTTCTAACACACATTGAAAAATAAAAATTTCTGCCTTCATCAACTGTCAGTCAAGTAAAATATTAAGGTGAAAAGAGACTAAACTTAAGTGACAGAAAATTTGCCTAAATCACATTCATGAATGAATATTCAAATTCAGATTAGTCTGACTCCAGATTCCCTAGTATATCTAAGCCACACTGTCTTTTTCTTCTCTCTCTTTTTTTCAGTTAGAAGTAAGGAGTCACATCAACCAGCTAGCTCTCAAAATCATTCTTTCTTTGGGGAATGCCCCCACATCCTGGGATATAACTCCTTCTCCTTGTCATAATATATCAGAGATGTTTCACAGGGATTCTTTTCACTTTATCTCCAAGTCAGAAGAAAGGGTAGCCCTAGTTCTAAAATATCACTCAGCTCCTCAGGCCTGGACAAGACTGCTAGAAAAGTGAGGTAAGAGTAAAGAAAAGAGGGTAAGATGCTACTTCCTTTTTTCCTTCCTCATTAAGATTTCTTCTGAATGATTATCAACTACATTCAAGACTAGAGTTTAGCTTTAGCCAAGCTCATTTATTGCAGAATACATCAAGTAAGCATATTCCTCAAAGAAGTCTTTTTGAGAGCTAAACTAAAACATCAAAGGAAAAATAGAGTAAAAAGTCTTTCACTTGTGTTTGATTATAGTTCTGTACAATAGCGGGCATTTGTACATCAAAAATTATTAATTCATTCCTGTCTTCTAGAAACGGGGGGACGACTTGTGTGGAAGGAGTGTAGCGTTAGCTTAAAATTTGGCTTTTGTAGCCATTACCTTAGCCCCCTCTGGTCTCCTGCTACCTTAACTAGAGACACATTGTCTTACAAATCATCAACAGCTGGGGGACTAGGATAAGACAGAGTGTGCTTCCCACACTGAGCAGCAAAACTTGAGGGAGACTGAAGGAAGGCCCTGGTGGCAAGACCCTGGAGATGAAGGTAGAAAGACTGTGGCATTGTTGTGAAGAGATTGTGGCAAGATGAAATGGAGGAGCCTTGAGATAAAGGACACAATTAAAGGTTTTGCTGTTGTTGCCAGAGGAAGGAAGGAAAATCTGACTGTCTACTAATTGAAGAATTTTGCCTTGGACTGCTGGGCTGAAACCTAGACTTGCATTGTGTGATATTCTTTGCCTCCCCTGCTCTTCACCTCACTCCCTTAATAAACCTCACTCAGTACCACAACGGTGAGTAAAGTCTGTTAGTCAACAACAAATGTCAAACAAAGATTGGTGGAAACGGGTGCAGGAGCATGGGGGCTGGAGTGTCTGACCAAGCAGCTCTCTACTTGGTGCTATGGATACCACTGATGGGGACAGTTCCCCTTTACGGGGCAGGCAGAAGTCAGACACTGCTACCCCACCACCACATTGTATTGGCTCCCACCACAGAGAGGTTGGTGCGCACTTCTAAAACTTCCTTCACTTCAACCCATTATCAGTAGCACAGTAGATCCTTAAAGTAAGAAGACAGAGCTGAAGTTGCCACATTACTATGTATCATTATCTAGATGAGGAAATGCACTGAGTTTTAGTACTGATTCTGAAATTTAAAAGTAGCATGGCCATCATTCAACAAAAATTTACAAATAATTTAAATACCACTTAAAACTACTGTAAACAGACTACAAAATGGTTTTGGTCATACACAAAGCATTTGCACATTAGGTTACTAAACTTCTGAATTTAGCAAAGTTCAACAAGACAGTGAACAATAAATAAACGTTGGCAAGGATCTAGAGGGATTAGAATACAAATACTGCTGGTGGAAATGTTCTGCAAATAGTACAGAAAAGTTTGGTGCTTCCCTTAAAAACTGTAAATACTAGTATCAATTGATCCAGAAATCATACTATTAGGTATATATCTAAAAGAAATAATACATGCAACATAAACATATACACATCCATGTTCACTGCAGGATTATTTACATTAGGTAAGAGACGGAAACAACCCAAGTGTCCATCAACAGTTGAATAATTAAACTGATACAAATAAACAATAAAATACTATGCAGGGCTATAGAAAAACTAAGAACTTTAACATGGATGAATCAAAGGATATTACGCTGAATAAAACATGTCAATCACAAAAGGACAAATAGTACATGAGTCTGTCTACTCATAAAAAGACTAGACTTGGCTTAGAGATGTCACTGTTCATATTTCCAACAGGAACAGAAGATTCTTCAGAGAAAAGAACATACTTGTCTCCTCTCGAGTTCCAGTCTGAGAGGAACGGCATAGCTGGTTTTATGCTTTCATGAGTGCAGTGACCAGTAAAATGGCTGTAAGAAGTAAGCTCATCCTTCAAGTACAGTCAATGGTGACCAAAAGTCAGGTGGCCAATTGTGCCAAGGCGGGTTTCTAGCCATTGACTCTAGCTTTTGTTACAACATGGCTGAAAGGACTTTTTTACTACGTGAGTGACAGGGGCCACACCTCTCTCAAGTGCTTCAGGCTGCTTGGCTGAAAATAGTCCCATTTGGATGATATGATGCTGCAGGCTGATTTCGCGGGGGGAAAAAGCACTCTCCTTGCTAGACATTGTTTTGCCTTTCACCGTATGACAGGGCGAGACTATGTTAATGATGTGAATAGTACCCTTTGGGTGAAATTACGGAAATAGAACATACAGATGACTAAGGGAACTGGTCAGTCTTGCCACCCCACCAGGTTTAAATTGAACAGGTTTGGTAGCAGAAAATAGGAATCCTGATACTAGCAGAGGTGAGGAATTCAAAGCGCACCTGTCTGGACAGGCGATTCCTGCGCCAGTCAGATGAAGACCTAGAAGAGGGCAGTAACAGCAGAGAAGAACCAGACCAGCTGGAGACAGACCAACCTGAGACTCTGTCCGATGAAGCCAAAGCCAAGGCCAAAGCCCAAGCTTGTGAGAGGTCTAGGGAGTCCTAAAGGGCAGGACTGAGAGAGGACTGCAATACTGGCCTAAAGCTATTAATAGGCCTGAGAGAATGCCAGGAGCTGTCTTGATTGGGAAGTGCATCCAGTTTCCAACTTGAATTGCAAATTGTCAATTTTCTTAACAAACCCCATAACTCTGTGTTGGGAGGTGGGAGGGTGGGTGTTTCTACAGCACCAATAGTAAGGAACAGCAAAGAGGCGAAGGGGCCAAATGATAACCTACTACTTACCAGATGACTAAGTGAAGGGAAAAAATTAATAAAAAGTTAAAACTAATCCAGTCACTTAATAATTAAAAAGTATTACAAGAATAGCATCTTACTTAGTTCTACTCAGTAACTATGTGCTCGATACGGGTGAGCACATTTAAAATAGAAAAGAAAGTATATTTTTTTTTTCAAAAACTAAAGAAAATGCAGCAAAATGTTATTAGTAAATGGGTTATAGATTATGAATATTTCTGTTCTTTCCCCCACCCCCCACATTTCACAAATGTTAAAAAGTACATACTTGTCTTACTTCAGGGGGAAAATACAAACTTTCAAAGCTTTTTAACATGTAACAAATCTAAAGTCCGATGAAAACCCCTGCAGTACTAGTAATTCAATCTTACCAAAAAGGACAAAGTTACACACGAGAAAGTTAAAGGTGAACAACCAACATATCTTGGGAAATTCTGTGACAAATATGAACTTGTTGTATATTCATAAACTAAATGTCATTATTCCAACCTGGTTCACAAGTTTGAAATTTCCAAGAAAACCCACTTGATGAAATTGTAACATTTATACCTGTTAGCAATTCTTCAGAAACTAATAATACTTTCCTACGAATACTAAGAATATTTTCCTTCCCAAATGGTTATAACTCTAACTAGGATGGATATGTTTATAATTCTAACCAGAATGGATTAACTAACTAACCTGGACACTTGCTGCTTCTTGAAAATACAGAGATTTAAGATTTCTTTCAATACTCTCCTCCTAAAAGTAGTGATTAACTGACTGAAATGATTTTCATAAAATACAAAGTGAAAGCATTTGGTCGATATAATACATTAAAATAGATAGCTTTTATATTTTGGTCATAATGTACAGTGAAATCAAAGTAATTTAATGTTTGAAGACACTATTTGAGACTAGCATTTTTACTAGAAAACAGAACAAATATTAAGATGGGTTGTTTTGAAGAGAAAAAGAGCAATTTTGCTCAAACAATAATAAAAATAAGATAAAATAAAACTAAACTACTTTTTCACAGTTCAGCTAAATCTTACTCCCAAAACTACTTTCTTTTAAGATACTGGTATTTGGAAACTATGACTCCTCAGTCAAAAAGAAGAGAGCACTAGGAAGGTTTTGGCATTTGTCCAGACACAAAGAATTGATTAAACAACCTCTAAACCATTTCCAACTTCACAGTTTTTTAAAGTAAAACAACAAGAAACCACCTGGAGGCAGTAAGAAAAACTGTTATTGAACCATATATTCCTATAAAAGAGACTTTGTAAAGTCTAATTCCTTACTGTTGTCATTAACATAAATTTAATAACAAGCATATAACATTAATAAGGTTCTGGAACAAAGTAACAAATGAGTCAAACATGAGTGTTTTGGTATACTATAAGGTATCTGAAAAAAATTACACACCACCCAAAAAAATTTAAAACCAAGTGCAATATATACAAATTTACCTTTATCTTTATATGCACATCAAAAATATCGGGGATGCTACCAAAAATAGTCTTGATCTCTTCTGGTGCAAGGATAGGCCCACCACGCTGTCCTTCTTCTTCTAACGGAATCTGAAATAGCTTAAAAGGGAAAAAGCTATTTAAGTAAATGCAGGGAAGAGAGGGGGCTGGGAGGGGGAGAGGGATGAGGGGCGAGAGGGGAGGAGGTCAAGGGTAGGGAGAAGGGTAAGAGGGAAGGGGGAGGGAGAGGATGGGGGAGGGGAAGCAGGAAGGAGGAGGGGGACGCATGGAGGGAGAGGGGAAGGGAGAGTGGGAGAGACAGAGAACGAAGATGAAACTTAAAAGTTTTCTGCTGTCCTAAATATGCCTGCAGAAACTCTTACGAACTCTCGGAGATCATAGAACAAAGTTAAGGTCTTTTGTTTATAGTCAATACCAGATGGCAGTTAACAACATATAAGGCCCAGCCCTGGTCTTCCACTTTGGACTTGGACGAAGCTGGGCTCTGCAGGAAGGCGCTCTTGTGTTGGTTGAGGACCTGTGTGGATTGTTTGGTTGTTTTTCTTTAAAACTCTTTAAGCCTCTTGGTTAGAGTCAACAAGACCTCCAGGACACTTGCATTTAAGGCCAAGCCCTTGTCTCCATTTTGGAGACTGAGTGAAGTGACTGGACTCTAAGAGGGCTCCCTTATTTTGGTGGAGGGTCATTGTGGAGGGTTTGGTTGCTTTTATATTTAAGCCTCTTATTTAGAGTCAACAAGACCTCCTGATGGGCCCTTGTTTTTAAAAGTTGGGCTATACTTTGGAGGAACACTCTTCTAAGTCATACAGCACTCCTCTGTCAATTTGCTCTGCTGAGGTAATCTGGGTTTGCTGTGACGCTGAACCTTGTACCACTGGGGTGTCAAATGCCATAATGGCTGCCCCACTTTCTAAACCACATGCCTCTGGAAACTCTATGAACTTGGAGAAATGATAGTTCTGGAAAGGCCTCAGGTCTTCTGTTCATAGAGTCACTAGGAGTCGTACAGCCAGATGGTGGAGGGAGAAGCTGATTTAGAACTGCTCTGAGGCAAAACTTGCCGCATGACTGAGGAAACCATAGGCTTCTTGAGTTTGCTGAACTGAAACCAGGACTTTCACTAACTGAGGAATTATGTTTTCCTGTTAATCTGGTTTAGACTGCTGGACTAAACCTGGATCTGCATTGGCTGATATTCTTTGCCTCCCTACCCTCCAACTTATTTTTCTATTAAACCCCATTTTCAGTGCCACAACTGTGAGTAAAACCTGTGAGTCGACAACAAATAACTGAAGTTCTTGCTGCTGGTGTGGCTCTCACCATAGGGCTGGGCCTTCAGCTATGGAGGGGGAGGGGCTTGGATCCTTTCAGAGAAATGCTCACAGCCCTGTTTGTCCATGTCCCATTTCCTATTCTCTAGGCACTCAGAAAACTTAGGGAGAGCGGCCCTAAATTGGCATCAACAACCAACTTGAGGCAAGGAGTCTGGTTGGTTGGTTGGTTGGTTGGTTTACGCAGTCAAGAATTAGACGAGATACTTTAACATAAAAGTTGCTAGCTATGCATCCAACTAGGGAATTAAGTTATTCAAAATCCAATTCCAAAAATAATACAGTAGTCTTAAAATAAAGCCTAAAGAAAACATTATGAATTTAGGCTACAATCTTTCAAATAAAAACTTAAGTTTATACTAAGGAAGGTGATAAGAAACTTTGATCAGTGTTAAGATTTCCCAGAGCTTTTAAAAGAGTTCTAGTACCTTTAACTGATAATGCAAATTAGCGCTTTGAACATTGTGTGTATCTTACCATGTCGTGAAATATTTACATTTCTAGGTAATAAATGTTACCAAGGGGCATGAATGGTATATGCCAAGGGGATGTTCTACTTACTGTACCAACAGCAACTAGAATTTCATCCACAATTATTTTCCTTAAGGAAGAATAAAGCGGACTTAAAAGAAGTCAAGTTTAATAAAGCAGAACCTCATAAATCTTGATGACTGCTAAGTGAATAAGACGATGCCAAGAATACCAATAATCCCTGAAGCTATGGTCTTCCCTCATTCCTCAAACACGGGACTGAACCCACCACCGAAGGGATCCGCCAAATGAACATGCCCATCAGGTGAACTAGAAGGCCCGTGAGGAATGTGCTCTCACAACAACCAACCACGGATTTGCCCAAAAATAAAATCCAAAAGGCAGGAAGGGGCAAGAAAAAAGGAAGACCGGAAAGGGAGAAACAAAGAGGACAGGTAACTACCTTGAGGGGACTGTACATAATGTCATGAAACAAAATTTGGTTTGTTTGAATGGGAAATTGACGTGCTCTACAAATTTTCATCCAAACCATAACAATTTTTAATACTAGTTTATTTACAAAATTTGAATACACTGATTTCAAGAACAGATTCCTCTAATTTCCCTCACCCCCCCCATCAAACTGTACAACCCCATGATTACTTCCCCCTCCTCCTGCACATCCTCATCCCTCTGCTTCCACCCTCTCCCACCCTCCTTGGATCCTTATACTAGAATAAACTATTTTTAAAAACAGGAATCTCCATTACCACCAAGGAAAAGCTTTTTCATTTCTTATCCAGGAATCTTACCATTGGTATTGCACCAAAGGGATAGCAGATTAACTTCTAACAAAGTACATTAAGAATTCAAATAGGAGTCAGTAACAAACTAGGTCCAAATCCAACATTTTTCTATTCAGAGACATGTTTGGTGGCATCAGCCTTCTCTTCCTAGCTTTTTATCTCTATTTTCTTTATGACCTAAACCAAGTTTTTTCTTAGTTTTCACAGGTAAAAATTAATGCTCCAATATAGTATTTTTTAGAATCCTGAATTCTAGTTTACTCTTTAATATCTTCTTCAATCTCCACCCTACAGGGACTCATTAGAATTATTTTCTTTCTTCAGAAATAACAGTAAATTTTACTATTGGTAAGCAATGAGTTAACATTTATTAATGACTGACTATTACATTCTTTAAGAAAACTTAACACAAATAGTAAGTGAAAAATAATACTGAAAACATACACTATTGCTACTAATTAAATATCCACTTAATATAACACAAAACATAATTAAAATACTAATCTATTCATATATTACTATAATATTACTATAACAGCATATTAATAACATAATAACATAACATACATAGCACATATACAATATGCAAAGCAGTCACTCTAGAACACACCCTTTCAGCAAACTCTCTACCACTTCTGAAACTAGGAAGCTACCTGGACAAAAAACCCTGCAAAGTTTTTAACTAAACTAACTCCTCCCTATGATCATCCAGGAAGGATCCTTTTATTTTTAAAAGTCATTACAGTAAAAAAGTGGTATTATTTTTACACTATCTCCTTTATCGCCTAAAACAGGTTCATGAATAAAAGATACTACCACAGTCATTAATGGCATTCCTTAACTATAGTTTTTGTTGTAAATTTTCATTTATCTATGATATTCAAGAACTACGCTTGTAAGATTTGCTTGTAAAAGATAAAACCACTGTCATGTTTTACTTGGGAATATTAGAACAGAGATCATTTTGAAATCAAGCTCACACTTACCTGAATAATTGTTGCTAGTATATTTACATAATTACTTTCAGTCTGATACAGTTCTTTTGCAACTTGCCACCTGGCTGTCTGCTTTGGAGCAACTGGAGTGGAATTTTTAGAAGGCTTAGGACCAGATTTCGGTGTTTCTGGAAGGGAAGAAAGGAATAAGGATAAATGGAAGCCAAATATAAATAACAAACTTTATATAGAATTAGTAAGGATGGAGATTAATATCTCTTCTTATAAATGTTCACCAAAGATTGCTTCAAAGGATAAATCTAGTGAAAACCGGTTTAAAGAAAAAATTTAAAATTGATAGACAGTATCATAAATTTGGCTTGTACTATTTGAAGACATAAAGGTAATTCTTACAGATTTAAATTCTGTTCCCTACATAAATATACTGATGTTCTAACCCCAGGAACCTATCAATGTAGCTTAGTTTAAAAATAGGTCTACTCAAAAAAAATGAAAAAAAAAACAGGTCTACTCGGGGAGCTCTGGTGGCCTAGTGGCAAGGAGCTGCAACTACAATCCCAGAGGCAAACGGTTCGAATCCATCAGATGCTCTGCCGAGGAAGGAGGGACAATCTCCTCCTGTACCAGTCAGATCTGATTTGACGGTACACTCACACAAAAATAATAAAAAAAAAAAATAGGTCTACTAAGATATACTTGAACATGACATCATTCTAGTTTGGGCCATAATCCAATTATCTTGTATCCTAAGGAAAAGAGAGACAGGACAGGTTACAGAGGGAAGGCACCCAGGTGAAGATGGAGGACGTGAACAAAGCTAGGTATTTAAACGACAGAATGCCAAGGACTGCCAAGAACCATCACACGCTAGGAGTTAAGAGAAAACAGTCCTTTGATGTTTTCAGAGAGAACAAGACCCTGTCACCATCTTGAAGTTGGACTCCTATCCTCGAGAACTTTGAGTCAGTAAATTTCTAATTGCTGTAAGCTTCCCAGTTTTTACTGTTACAGTAGCCTAAGAAAGGGTTCCTGTAAGAAGCTCTTCCACAACCCAAAGGCACAAAGTTAGACTCCGTCAGCTGCTCCACAGGAGGAGAATGGGCAATCTACTCTCAGACAACTGACAACAAAAACAAGCACAGCTATTAAAAACATCCAGATTCTAGGAGCCCAGGATTTAACATACGACCCTAACTGTATCTTAGACTAGGGGGGAAAATTCCTTTTCCCTCACATTTTCTTACAGAATCCTAGACAATGCTTGACTATGTCATTTCCTAAGTAACAAAGTGTAAAAATAAAGATGTCACAGAAGCAGCCAGGTGGCTAAAGAAGCAGCATCTCAAAGAAGAGAACCACCTTACTGCATGAAGTTACCAATTAAGGTCCAGAAATGGTTTCCAGCTTTGCAGATTCAAAATTTCAATTTGTCAATACATCAGAAACCCCAAACTGATCAAGTTCAGATAGTTGACTCACTGTAACCAAAATACTAATAGTCATTCTGAAACATATTCATTCTAAGAGCTGCTTAACTTTAAATGAAAAACTTGAGGAATGACCAACTGGAAAGTCAAATCTAATTGAATCCATTCCTCCTTCTAACGTCCTTGTTTCTTTAGAGGTTCTTTTCTACCCCCTTACCTCTAAAGTACACACTCAAGCTTTCGTCTCTATGACCAGCTCTCATCATCCCACGTCCTTGCTATAATCACAGAACCAGCAACCTCCTGATTTACACAGTTCATCATAAAACCACTCTCAAGGGTAAGCTCTGGTGGCCTAGTGGCAAGAAGGTGCACTGCAATCCCAGAGGTGAGCAGTTCAAATCCACCAGAAGCTTTGCTGGAGAAGGAGGAACAATCTCTTCCTGTACCAGTCAAATCTGATTTTGATGGTACACACACACACACACACACAAATAACAATAATAATAATTAAAAAAAAAAAGAAGACCATCTCAAGTATCAAAATTGGGTTCATACTCCTTACTTTTCTTTCCAACCACAATTTAACATATTCAGGCTTTGATCAACTATTGGTACAAGTTATTACAGTAGATTCCTTCTGTGTCTCTGTCTCCAAACAGCCTTCCCTCCATTCATTCAACAAATTATTTTGCTGTAAATTACCTATTCAATCCAGCACCTTGCTCTTGAAGATACCATTCTTAAAGAGAGTGAATATAAATTCAGATTTGTCGGTTAAATTTTTAAATCCCTTAGTAACAATTCAAAAAAAGAAAAATTCAAATGAACAAACCCATGGCCATCAAGCTCATGGTCACTATGTGCTTCAGAGTTGAAAGATGCTCTACGGCTTTTCTTTATTGCTATATTAACAAAAGTCAATCTCCAGGCCTTTCATCCACTGCATGAATTCAAACCACCAAACTCTTCATTAGAACTGGGAGCAAACCATTTGTGCTACCCGGAGTACTAGCCCCTAGAGTTAAAGTACTATGCCCCAAATAGCCTTTCTATTCAACTACTAACCCTCTCCCATAATGCAAACTGACCTATTCATTATTCCCGACTACTAAATTTATAAAGTATTTATATCCCTATTTCTCTTTATCTATCTAAATCTATCTCACTTCAGTAAGCCTACTTTAAATCCGGTGTATCTTAAAGCCTAGGGAACAAGTCCAGAGGCTACAGTACAGATGTGCTGTTAATAGTTGATGAATACTCAACCATAGTATAACCGAAGCTTGAAGAATATGACTAGATAGGCTAGAACCACATGAGCTCAGCGAGAGGTAAAACAAGTGTAAACAGAGAGCGGAAACCTCTGGTAACGACTGGAAATAAAAGTGATATGATCTAATTCCTGTTTTTTAAAGACTTCTCAAAGTGCTGCATAAAGAAATAACAAAGAAAACAAGACGACCAACAGTCTTTTTTTTTCCCACAGGAAAGGTTAATTAAAGAAGGATAGTAAAAGGAGCTGAGGAATTGAGTGATACAGAAATTCTCATTTTCTTACATTAAATCTATTAGTGTCTCTTAGGCATAGAAAAGAACGTTGCTGGAAAGAGAAGAAAGTCATCCATCATTTAAAACCATGGAACTGAAGGAGACCATGGAGGTAAAACACAACCGAGGAGACAAAATGTTACTCAGAAGTCAACATTTAGAAGAAGTTAGGCAAAAAAGAATGAGAAATGAGGGGTATCCATAGCAACTGGTCTGCAGCTGTTTTTCTGGGAGCAGTTGGCATTTCACTGCAGCAAAGCAACTGGTGCACAAACTCCTTTCTTACTACGACAAAGAGTAGACAGACAGACGTGCAACAGACATGAGGATGGTTCACTTCAAAACCAACTAATGTGTTTACATTACAGTGACAAGTTAGTTGTTTTTAAATAATGTTTTCTTCCTTTTGAAGAACCTGCACTTGTTGCCACGGTCTTTAATCTTACTAGACGTGAGGCCTTGGGATGATGAAATCGACATGGCACAACTGGAAGTGTCAGAAAGTGTTGGAAGTATCCAGGCCGACGGCTTGGGCCGGGGCTCTTACAAGCTAGGACGAGTGGGATATGGAGTGTGTAGCTGAAGACGGTAAAGTTGCCACAGATATGCTGGGAAAACAAGTAACTGCTTTTGAACTATGTGTAGGCCATGGACGTGGCTGCTTTCAACAAAATCTAAAGTCCATCTGCATCCAACAGTTAAAAACTTAAATAAATGAAGGGTTCCACAAAAGCCAAAGGATGAAATTAGGTTTAGGGCAGGGCAGGGGGCAGGGGGCAGGGGGCGGGGAGCGGGAGAGCTGTCCATGTGTTCAATACTGGTGACTGCACAGAAAGTGTCAGCATTCCGTGCAGAGCGTCTCCATGAGCCGAAGTGCGGTGGAATGGGTCCCTAAGACAATGGGAAGGAAGGAAATGCACAGAAGGATCAAAGTCATTCTTGAGGGGGGTGGGGCGGAAGCAGACGGGTGAGGATGGGAGGGTGGGGGTTAATCATAGCTGGTGGCCCAGCTGGACAGGTGGGTGGGCCAAGGAAATGGGAAAGATCCAGTGTGAAATACAATGTATTCAAACTTTGTAAATAAACCGATATAAATTTTAAAAAAACAATTTTGCCCCCCAGAAAAAAAGTGATTCTTGAAATGATTTGAAAGAGTAAAGGGACAGCAGGTGGAGTTTGTCATGAGATCATGAGAATATTTTGAGTGTTTCTTAAATCTAGAAAACACTACAACATATGTGTCAGCAAACTAGGAAAAGAAAAAAAAGAGTGGAAATCAGGAGAGGTTAACTGGAGGTGGCCCCTTTTATAGGTTCTGGAAAGCAGACAGACACTAACTTCAATATATCCATTTCATCTGTAATTCATGTTACTGTGTTTAGCTAGTATTAAGAATTTACTCTCTGAACATATCTGTAATTCTCTACCTGTGTTAACTCCAAACAAGGTCTTTAACTCCTATGTAGCTCAGTTTTTATTATAAATATACAAAATATTATCATATTTAATTTTTCATTAGTCTTTTCTTTCAACTAGAATAAAGTCCATTAAAAGTATCATCTTTCATATCAGGGATGTATCTATAGTCTAACAACTGTTGTTGTTGTTGTTAAGTGCCATCGACCCTAAATTTTAAGTATCAATTTTTAAAATTTCAATTACCTCCATAATTTATGCTAGAGTCTGGTGTGTTGGAAGTATCTAGAAGTGACCCGATGGAGAGGGAGTGCTCAGCGGATGGGCGCTTATGGGGTGGGAAGGGCGACATTTCTGTCTCTCTTGACAGCTGAGCAAGTGTCTCTTTTAAACGCCGTTTTTTGCGATTGCTGTTTGGGGTATTTATAGAAAGCAGCGACACTGATTTCTTGAGCTCAGGAGTACTAGTCTGCAATCAAAACAAAACAAAACAAGCTGGATTTTACTTCTATAATTCTTTACTAAGAAAGAAACAAGAGGTGGGGAAAAAAATTACTATTTTTCTGACAAAACCTGGACTTTGCACAATCTTACAAAGCCACACTCTGAGAGGTAATTCAGAAGCTTCATAAGACATAACGGTTAAAGCACCAAGGTAACTGTCTTATCCCCAGGACCCATCCTCTTTTCTCACATTCATCTGTACGTTTGATTGCGGACTCCTCGCTTCAGGCCATAAAGTGCCAAGGACAGGGAGCCCTTGTCTTCTGTTCGCTGCATCCCCACGCCTTAGCAGAGGGCCTGGACATGGTGCCCTCCAGTATTTGTTAATAAATAACTTAAGAGGGATTTATTTCCCCAACCCTAACACAATCGTTTTTTAAAACTTAAGAATCGTACACTGAGAAGAGAACATGAGAGATCACAATACAGTACCTATTTGCAATGACCAGTGGTAATTCATACCCTGTTCCTGATAACGCCCTCAAAATTATGAAATCGAGAAGTGGTTTATTTTAAAAGTTACTATACATTGTTTTTCACACCGGATCTTTCCCATTTCCTTCACCTCCCCCACCTCAACCCATATTCTTTATTCCAAGCCTGGTTCTCTTCTCATCAGGATCTAGCATGAATATTGGATTTTCTCTGGCTACATTCTGGTTTTACATTCATCTTTTTAGTGACATCATTCCTGTTTATTAGACTTAAGTGGCTCCTTAGTAAACAGTGAATAAAATCCAAATTCTTTAACATATATTAAAAACTTCTTGGTTCCACTCACTTATTAAGCTTTATCAGCTGGTCTGGATTCTTAAGCTCTCCTTTTCAGAAGGCACACTAGGCTACTTACGCCCTCTAGCCTTCAGGTCTCTGCACCTGCTGTTCCAATCGGAAAGCCTTAATTCCATTAACCTGGTAAGTCTGCACAGTATATGTCTGCTCTTTCCAGCCTCAATCTCACACAGAAAGAGTGAGGTTACCCAAACTGTTATTAGCATAGACTCGATGGCATCTCACAGCAACAGTAAGCAAAGTACGAAGCCCAAATGGCCCAGTGGTCAAGGCAAATGAAAGCACACTGAAGCCAAGAGCCATTCCATAATAAAGATATGATGATCAGCTGCGCAAAGTTGACAGCCCTGGAGACTCCTGTGTGTGGTTCTGGTTTGTCTTCTACAGTCACTACGAGCTGAACTAGACCTGACAGTAATCTAATTATATGTCATTCTGCACTTCATAACGATATTATAAACAGAAGATCACATGAGCACAGAATATGATATAGATTAAAATACGTTTTACACTGAAGACTTTCACTTCAATCTACATAGACTACAAATACCACCAGTATTCAATTGAAGTATTCTGAAGCTAATTATAAAGTAAGACGATACATAAGCTAATTATGTCCTGCTCTCCTCCTTACAGGAAAGTGTCCCTGTCATGAATATGAAGTCTAAAAACGCGTACCTTTTCATAGAAGTACATAGTTTCTCCAGCTCGAGCATCCATCTGAATGCTTCCCCAAAACCACTGTCAGAGAAAGAACATTTCCATCAAAAAATTACACTCTAGCTTATCAAAAATCATTAATAATGTTTCATAAAAATACCTTGTTCTAGAATGACTTACCTCTTGTTTAACAACATACAGTTTCTCTGAAGGTTCAAACGGAAGTTCTTTGACCACATTCTCTTCAACTATAAGGTGAGTGCACCCTTCATCTCCAACTGGTAGGTAGTTACCTCCTAAAGAAGAAATCAAACAAGCATCAAGAATTTCTCTCCAACCGTTAATGGAATACTCACCAGGAAATAACCAAATCAGCCCAAGGGACAAATTACAACTTCAAAATTCTGTTAAAACTCTACCTTGCATTACTGTCATTTCTTCCATATTCGTTTTTTCGTCATCGGAAAATCCCAGAAAACTTAAGACACAATCTTGAAATGGAGGAACTTTAAATTCATTTTTAAAGTTATCATCTGCTGCATTAAAATTCCTAGAAACAAAATACACTAATGTAAAACTAGTTTCATTTAAGGTCACATATGTTAGGTCTATATAATTTTTCCAAAGTTATTGTAATTGTCAAGGTTCTTAGTATATTCAATTTATCAAAAATATTTCATTATCTTCTTGTGAAAATGTTCATAAATCAGTAAAAGGAAAACTTTCCAAGTCATCCCAGAACAAAAGCCTGACAAAAAATTGACTGTTAGAAAAAGACTAATACAATTATAAAATGGGCAAAAGATAGACTTTTCACAGAGAAAGAAATTCAGATGGCCAATAGACCACAAGAAGAAATGCTCAAAATCACTGGCAATAAGATGCAAAGCAAAACCACACTGAGACAGTCTCACTTCAGAAGCAGTGAAAAAGTTTAGCAGGACAGCAAGTAATAAATGTTGGAGAGAATGTGGCGAGAGAGGAACTCTCCACACTGTTGATGGGATTGTAAAACGGTATGACCACTCTGAAAGGCAGTTTGGCGTTTCCTCAGAAAGCTGAACATAGAAATTCCACAGGACCCAGCTATTCCACTGCTTAGAATATACCTCGAGAAACTGAAGCACAAATGGAAATTTATACACCAATGTTTATAAAAGCGTTATTCACTATCACAGGAACATGGAAACAGTGCAAATGTCCACCCACGATGGAATGGAATGAGAAACTGTGGTATATTCACAGAATGGAATACTATGCAGCACGCAGGAGCAATGAATTTGAAAATCACTACCTAACTTGGAAGGGACTAGAGAACATTATGTTGAGTGAACTCCGTCCCATAAGGATAAATACTGTGCAAGACCATTAATGGAGAAATAGAAAAATAACCAATAAAACGTGTACAAGGATTCAAGGAGGGAAGGTAGGAGCAGAGGGGTGAGGAAGGGCAGGGGATAATCACAGGATCCCATAATTTGATAGAGGGGGCGGTAGGGAAAGTAAATGGGAAAGATCTAGTATGAAAACAATGGATATGAACTCTGTAAGAAAACTACTATAAAATAAAAATATTATTTCAAGAATGTGATTGTTGTATGTCTCACCAAGTCACCTATGACCCACAGTGACCCTACACGTGAGCTCTGAACCCTGCCCTATCCTGAGCCAATCTCAACATCTCCGACACACCGAATCACATTTCTCCAGTCACTGAGTCAATCCATCTAATCCTCGGTCTTCTTCTCCTGAGCTGTCCCGCCATCCTTCCAAGAATGACGTCCCTCTCCAAGGACTGGTCCTTCACGGCCACATGCCCAAAGTATGTGAGACGGAGCTTCAAAATCCTTGCCTCCAGGGAACGGCCTGGTTTCACCCTCTCCAAAACAGACCTGTTTGTTCTCCTGGCAGTCCATGGTACATTCAACACTCTTTCCCAGCACCACAGCTCAAAGGCATCAATCCTTCTTCCATCATGTTTACTGTCCAGCTCTCAGATGTACAACAAGTAACTGAAAAGACCACGGCCTGGATCAGGCGCACCTTAGTCTCCAGACTGACATCAATGTTCTTCAATACTCTAGAGACGTCTCTGACAGCAGACTTTACCAGTGCAATTCACCTTTTGATTTCCTAACTGCTGGTGGCAAGAATGTTGACTGTGGAACCAAGCAAGCTGAAGTTATCAACAATCTCAATCTCTTCTCTATCACGAAGCTGCCAATTGGCCCAGTGGTGAGAATATGGTTGTTGTTGTTTTTTCATATTGGGCTTTAATTTATATTGAATTCGAAAGATTCAAATCTCTGCTCTTACTTGAAAATTTTATATGCATTCTAGGGCCCTGTAGTTTTATAAAATCTTTAATAATAAAGAGCAAGGAATCATGAGATTGACGTTTTGTAAACAAGGTAATGAACTGCAACCATCAATTAAAATGCAATTAGGACAAACATAGATAAAGGAAAAAATCTGCTCTATAAGAGAAGCTAAGCATTTCAACAGGCGAAGCTAGTAAGTTTACCATGTATAAAACTAGCTTATAAATTAAAATTCAAAGCCACCATGGTATATTCGCACAATGGAATACTATGCTGCATTGAAAAA